AACTGACTCAAATCTCCCCAAAAAATCACCCAAAACTGACTCAAATCACCCCAAAAAAGGACCAGAAAAGACCTAAAACTGAGTCAAATCTCCCCCAAAAATGTCCAAAAAACCACCCAAAACTGACTCAAATCTCCCCAAAAAGTCACCCAAAACCAAATCAACTCTCCCCAAAAAATCACCCAAAAACTGGCTCAAATCTCCCCCAAAAATAAGCCAAAAATTACTCAAATCTCCCCAAAAGATGACCAGAAAATGACCCAAAACTGACTCAACTCCCCCCAAAAAATCAACCAAAACGGACTCAAATCTCCCCCAAAAAATCACCCCAAAATTACTCAAATCTCCCCAAAAAGTGTCCCAAAAACCACCCAAAACTGACTCAAATCTCCCAAAAAAATCGCCCCAAACTGACTCAAATCTCCCCAAAAAATCACCCAAAAAATCACCCCAAAACTGAATCAACTCTCCCCAAAAAAACACCTTAAACTGACTTGTTTCCCCAAAAAATCACCCAAAACTGAATCAAATCTCCCCAAAAAATGTTCAAAAAATCACACAAAACCGAATCAAGTCTCCCAAAAAATCACCCCAAAACTGACTCAAATCTCCCCAAAAAATCACCCAAAAAATCACCCAAAACTGAATCAAATCTCCTCAGAAAATCACCCAAAACTCCCCCCAAAATCACCAAAAACTGACTCAAATCACCCCAAAAAATCTCCCAAGTCTTTCCAAAAATCACCAGAAACTGGCTCAAATCACCCCAAAAAATCACCCAAAACGGACTCAAATCTCCCCAAAAAATCACCACAAACTGACTCAAATCTCCCCAGAAAATAACCCAAAACTCCCCCAAAAATTACCAAAAACTGACTCTAGTCACCCCAAAAAACGACCCAATCTTTCCAAAAGATGACCCAAACTGACTCAAATCTCCCAAAAAAACCACCCAAAACGGACTCAAATCTCCCCCAAAAAGGACCAGAAAATGACTCAAATCTCCCCAAAAAATGTCCAAAAAATCACACAAAACTGACACAAATCTCCCCAAAAAATCACCCAAAACTGAATCAAATCTCCCCCAAAAATGTCGAAAACCAGACCCAAAACTGACTCAAATCGCCCCCAAAAATGACCAGAAACTGACTCAAATCACCCCAAAAAATAACCCAAAAATTGACCCAAATCTCCCCCCAAAATGGCCCAAAAGTCCCCCAAAAACCACCAAAACCTGACCTGAATCTCCCCCCAAAATAACCCAAAACTGTCTCAAATTTCCCCAAAAATCACCCAAAACTGACTCAAA